TTATGACAGAATCTAGTGCATTTCTTTCAAATTTTAGGTTATGTGCTCAAATTTTAAATATCCTAACTAACGGAAGTGCTTTTGTTTAAAGTTTAACCTAATTTCATCCAAGTAAAAAGAAAGAAAAAAACCGATGAAAAAATTAATTTTGTGGTTATGGAGTTTTTAAATGAGGTACTAAATTTTCTAATCATTGCTTAAGCTAATAGCTGGATGAGTAAATAAATACAGAAGGGTATTAGAGCTTTAAGGTAGTTGTCGTGCTTTAAGCATACCATCAGAAAATTTTAAATTTTTGTATACTTATTAAGGACATGACAATACATATACCCTTAAAATTTGAAGTCGATTGACCGTCTATAACCCGAGATAAATTCAATTAAAAATTGGATAATTAACATGGATTGTATAGGCTTTCTGTAGTTCTGTACCAGTTTCTTAGTTATACAGAAAAAACTAACTGTCAGAAGTTTTCAAAAAACTAACAGTGTTTTAATGTATTTTTGCTGAGTTTAAAAAAAAATAACTAAAAATTTTTGACCGTCCAATTGTTTATAAATAACCGTTTAAAGTTCAACAATTTGTAAAAAGTATACATCACTAGTGTCAGATAAAAACAACTTGGCAACGCTGTACGCGAGTATAGATATTATTTTCGCAGTAAATTGAAACGGGCTGATTCAGTCTCCAATATATCTATTGGTTGAGCATAAGCGACGTTGCCGGATTAAAACTTATGAAAATATTTGAAAGTATTACGTAATGGTAACGTCTCCAGGGTACAGTCTTGCGAACAAATTATGAATCACTTAGCTACAAGCTCGTATACTTTTACGGTGCGTATAATCTAAAAATTATAATTTTTATAATAATTATTATTAATTAATTATTATTATTAATTAATTATTATTATTAATTATTATTATTATTTTATAATATTATTATTTTATAATAATTATTGACAATATTGTACCACGACAACTACCTTAAGGGCATAAAACGTTTGTATTTATTGAGTTTTTATTTATTTTTTACAAGAAAATTTTTTAGTAATTTTTTTTTAACTGGCAACTCGCAACAGGTTGGTATCTACATATGTAGGTACTCACAGAACACAAGTGTGTAACCAATGGCGTATCACAAAAAATATAAAAAACTTCTAATGCATATTATTTCTTTATATTTGGGAAATTATTTTTTAAATATATTACATTAATTACATAACACCATGGATAAGTATATTTTTTTATAAATAAATAAATTTTATAAATATTTATTTGGCCATTTTTTAAATAAAAATTGACTTTAATATCAGGACGCCATTATTTTTTTTTTCATATATTTTTCATCATCCTCATTACATTACAAACATCAACGTTATTACATACGACCCTAAGTAACCTTTTAAATACACATTGACAAGTTGTGGCTTAAGGGGACATCCATTAATTATGTGAGATAAAAATGGGGGGAAGGGGTCTAGCAAAATCTCACCAAACCTTATTTTTAGGGAGGGGGGTCATTGAAAATCTCACGTCAACTTTTGAGTTTAAAGAATATTTTTGGTATTTTAATTTTGTTAAAAAAATTAATAATTTTTTTTACATTCTTGGAGTTTGTCAAATGTCATACAATCGTTAAAATTAAGTGCCCTTCTTGTGAAATAATGATGAGGAAATTATTTTATTATCTTAAAAGTATTAAATGGTTTTTCAACCTATTTGAAAAGTTTATATGCAAGTTTGTACTGACTTTTTCTCCAGCAGTAAACTAGATTTAACTAATTAAGAATTTAAATTTCGGGTGGAGACCACCCATAAAACATTCTCTTCACTTTCACTGTGAAAAACTGCCTCTATATCAGATTTAAACGGTTGTTAGTCCATTTTTAAGGGATACATTTCGATTAACAAATACAAATTTGACATTTGAGTTAGGTACTCTATTTTTTATAGATGTCGCTCTATAAAAATATTTATGTCAAAATCGATTCGCCATGCCGTCCTTAATTTACTTATTTACAATTGTTAATAAGCGGCTGTTAATGTAAAAGAAGAAAAAAAGGATTCTTTTGTGTTAAATAAAATTTATTGCCAGAAAAGTAAGTACTAGAAAAATTTGGGTGGGATAAAGTATCTCATTACAGCACCGAAAGCGGTGTTATACTGAAATCACTATGAACGCAAAATAGATAAAGTATAGTATGCAACTCGTTTATAAACTTTTCTTTCGTGTTTTCTTCATATAAACGGTCCCAAAACTATTCCCTGAGGTATTCCATGTAATTATCGTGACAAATATAGATAAAGGATACTTATAAGTCTATTAAAAGAGTAAAATCATTCCGAGAATTAATAAAATTCCTTTTACACCTAAAACCGTTATAAAAATCATAAACGTATCTTTTAAGTAATATTGCTCGTAAAACGAGGCTGTAAAATTTATGTACCTTTTTAAGAGTTCTTATGTTTCTTAGTAACGATACTAGACATTATGTATTATTACTTTATCGAAATAATACAGGGTTGTTTCTAAATGCGCGGACAAAATTTTGATGTATATAAAAAATATATGAATTTTTTATTTTGTAAAAATGTATGCCCGCCACTGACATTTTTACTCCTGATTATTTCCCTTATTATAATATAAACCAATCAAAAGCCTTGAGTTTTCGAATAAATTTCGTTTAAATAAGCGATTAAATCACTAGAACTATTTAACAGCGATTAAATTTTAGCCTCCATATTGGATTTTTGTTTACGATTTTATGGTGTTATTTACAAGTTTTAACAAACATTTTTTAAAAAACAATAAAAAATAAGTTATCTAGTTTACGAAATATCAATTATTACTTATTACATACGTTATCTCGTGATTTTATTTTATTAAATTATTTTGCATTCAACATTTTCCAACAAAAACTAAACAAAAAACTAGTGAGCCTAGTTTAACCGATTAAATTCATAGTTCTCGTGATATAATATATGATTAAAATATTTTTATAGTTCATTTGGTCAAAAACATTTTTTATAGGGGATTATCGTTCGCTACGCCCTGTATTTCTTATTTTCTGCGTATATTAAAAACATCGCATTAGTAGTTTTGAAGGGCGATATGATGAATTATTATTGGAGTGAGGGGGGATCGAACAGTTGAATGGAGAGAGTTTGTGTAGGTAATGATATTAAAAATCCATCGGCTAGCGACAATGTCCGGTCCTCCTTGGGCGGGCGCGACGGGGGGGAGGGAGGTAAAGAAAAGAGGAAAATCAAGAAGGGGTAGGTGACAGTTAGGAGTGCATCCCTGCTGAGATGCACAGTGTCACTAAGAAAGATGTAAATTTATTCATATGTATATAGTTTTTTAATATATTTTTTTTATACTTTATAAAACCAAAAAAAAACAGAACAATTATATTTTATAAATTAAGTTAAAAACAAAATAATTAAACAAATAAAAAATATAAAAAAATAAAATAGAGAAAAAAAACATATGGTACGCGTCGGTATTCGGGTACACTGTTCAAAATTTCATGACAATTTTAACACTAAATTAACACCATACATGATCTATATCGATACAAACCAAAATGGTCTTAAATATGGTTCGTTGGTCCAGTGTAAATTCAAATAATAAAATAGTGTAAATTTAACTTTCACACAGTATTAAAATAAATTTTACCTGGTGTGAATTGAACTCCTTTTCAGTGTTAAATATTATGTGTTTTTGGTCAAATTAAATCATACTACACAGAAAAAAAGGAAACAGGAAGTTCCTTGACGCATTACTAGTATATTACCAGTGTTATTATTCCAGAAAATTGAACCTTCAACTCGCTAGAGATTATGTTTGTAGTGCGTTCCACCAATTTAAAATACTTTAAGTATTGATAGCTGTTTCCACCTATTTAAGGTCTCTTTAGTATCGATCAACTTGTAGTGTCACACCAAAGCAAAGGACTAACTGAGCTTATATACTCTTCATGTAAGTCAACAGAGGCGAGATTTAAGAACATCACGTGATTATAAACTTTATAACCTAGAATTTCAACCTTGGAAATTCTGATTAAAATCCATGACGTAACACTTGTAGCCAATCACGCCTGATATAAAAAAGTGACTACATTTTTGACAGATTAAAATAAAAAAATATACACATTAGAAAGAGATAGACTATTAACCAGCTTGCCGAGGTAGTTTTATGGTCTAGTAAATGTGACGTCATAGTTAAGATTTTGGAACACACTCTAAACGTGTGGTTAAGTTTAATAACCATAGTATTTCATAATATTTACGCGAAATAATGCCTATAGTGTAGAAAAATAAAACAATTTTCTAATGACGCGTCAAAGTTTTGATTTTTTTTTCAGAAACTGTCAGAAAATATATCCGTCAAAGATGTCAATCTCAGCTGCCTTATTTATTTTTATTTTACTTTGTTAGGTTTGAAATATATTAGCCTATCAAAAAGAAAACTACTCGTCAGAAAAATTTAAACTTTTAATATATCAAGATACCTAAAAAGGTTTTAAAAAATTATTATATCAAAGTTATTGCATTAAAATGTTAAATGGATAACAATAAAAAAAATGCAATTTTAAATGGGTGAAAAATCAAGGAAATTTAAAAAACTGATTAATTATGAAATAAATAGAAATTATAGGTATACATTTTAACAAGTTATGTAAAATAAAAAAAAATAAAAAAAAAACAAAAAAAAAATATTAATTTTTTTAAATAATATTTTTACTAATTGTTCCAATTTTGGTGGCATCATTGTGCGTCGCGCTGAACTTCCAATCAGTCCCTGCTCGGCGTTCCGTCCCCGATGCTAAAAAAACTGGATCAATACATAAAAATTTCATATTGAAAATGATTGAGGAGGGCGGCAAGACGCGCTCGCTGCTGCCGCTCCGCGCTCGCCGCCACCGGCCGACGAACAAGGACGAAGGGGCGGCGGCGGCGGCGGCGGAACCACCCCCCGCGCTCCTCAATTCTTACCGAGTATTTATCATTTCTATAGTTCTTTAAGATTTAGTTTTCTCTCTATATGCCTTCAATAGTACGCTGTCAATTTTAAGATAAATATATTTATTGTTTTATTAATAATTTTTGATTGCACAGTAAAAAAATGTTTGTTAATTTTAACCAAATAAGGTCCACATAACCTTATGTTATGTCCACAACCAAACCTGCTAACTAATTTAACAAGTAGTTTGAATTATAACAGACAATTTGTAGATTTAATAGCTGGTAAAATATTATAATACGAAAATACGACAAAATTTAATTTTTTTTTCCCATGAAAAATTTCTATAGATTTTGAAAATAGACTTATTAAAATGATACCCGTGTCTCGGCATTTTTTCAAATCACGTTATTTTTTTAAGTGCGATCCAATAAATGTTATCCACGGTATTCGGCACTTAATATAACAGATTCGATAACAGCTAGACAGTATATTTTTATGGAAAAATTATTCATTGAATAAATGGACAACCATTAAGATTATTTATTTATTTTAAAACTATTTTAATTATATACAGGGTGTTGCACATTTACGAAATACGGGTGTTTCACGTTCGTGGTCCATTGAGATTTTCTGAGGAACGGCAAAAGATGTCGATTGGAAATTTTTAAAGCTTTTATAACCCAATTAAGCCTATTTTTATAAAATATTTTAAACAAAATTCCTCTTCCGGCTTGACCGGAAGTGACATCATCTTTGTTATTTTATTGTGTTTATGTTATATATTTTTACATTTTTAAATTCTACATAAAATTTTGAGTAAAATTACTGTACCATGTCCTATACCCAGAGTAAATAGTTTTGTAGTTATTAGTATATGACAAATGCGCGTCAATTAAAAATAGCTTATAACTTTCTTGCTATTAGGTTTGCAGAAATGGGGGTGGATTTTTGGAATCTTAAAACATTGTTTCAAAGATATCAATTTCTTAACATACCGGGTGTTACATTTAAAATAAAAAAGTTGTTAACGTTTCAAGTTGGCCCAATTTGCCCTGGGGTTTCTCGGTAAAAATGTTAAAGAATTAACATGGAATTTTTTAAACAATGTTTTAAGATTCCAAACATTTTACCCCCATATCCGTAAACTTAATAGCAAACATCTAGAAAACTATTCACTTTAGGTCTAGGACATGGTATAGTAATTTTACTCAGAATGTTAGGTAGAATTTAAAAATGTAAAAATATATGGGGTGTTATATTTGAAAAAACAAAGTTGATGTCACTTCCGGTCAAACCGGAAGTTGCATTTTGTTCAAAATATTTAAAAAAATAGACTTAATGGATTATAAATGCTTTTAAATTTCAAATCTATATTTTTTCCGTTCTCCAGAAACAAAGGACCACGAATGTGAAAAAAATGATTTATAACAAAATAGAAAATTAAAATTCTGTTTAGGTTAAAATAATTAAAAATAAAATAAGAATGGCTGTGTAAAAAAATTAAATGACGTGATTTCGTGAAACGGTGAGACACGGGTACGTTTTTTTAAATGATTTAAATTAAATATCTGTATAAAGCGATCTATAAAACATTAGAGTAACCAACTTGAAAATCTCAAATGTCAAATTGTTTTGTGTTGAGTATAGATGTATCCTTTGAAAATGTACCGTTTAATCCGATATACGAGCTATTATTAATAACTTTTGTATTTTTGTTTTAAGACGATAAAATAATTTTTACAAGAAGGGCACTTTATTTTAACGATTGTAAGACATTTGACAACTGTCAACTAACTTCAGCCCATGACTAAAAACCTGCCCGTGACTAAAAAGCTATAAAGCCACTACAGAAAAATATACTTATTATACTTAAAATCCACACTTCTCAAACCTTATTATTTTATTTTTATATATATATTTTTGGAAATATAAAAGAAAAAAAAACCCTTTTTCGACTAGGTACTTTATAAAGTAGATTTAGGCATACTGTTCGGGTGAAATTTTTAATTTGAAGTAATTTAATTTTTTTTAGTTATATTCTGGAACTATTCATGCGAGAATGATGAGCGAGTGATTTTTTACATAAAAATTACAAATTTTTTAAAATCTTTGCAAAACATTTTTTTGGCTATACCTACTTAAGATAACATTTTTTATGATAACGTCATTTTTATTGAGCCTATTTTTTTATTTTGGACACGCCTTAATTTCAATAAAAAATGCAAGGGTTTGACGAATGGAATACGATAAGATACTAAATTCAATATGGCGGCTGCCCCAAGATGGCCGAATATCATATTTTCGTAATTTTAAGAGGATAAGAATCCATTTTTATCTTAATATGAACAAAAACAATATTTTGCAAAGATTTTAAAGTATGAGTAATTTTTATGTAAAAATATGCAAACAGCTGAACAAAACGCTTTCTCACTCATTATTCAAACATGAATAGTTCCCAAGATATAACAATTTAAAAATTTTCAAATTTCTTAAAATAAAAAAAAAAACATACGTGTCTTTTTTTATTTTATTCTTTAAGCAAATATATATACAAAAATTAAATGATAAGGTAGATAATAATTGGATTATTTGGGAGAAAAAGTGTATATACGAAGTGTTACGTTCGTGGTCCATTAAAAGTTTCTGGGGAACGACAAAAATTTTAAAAACCCTTATAATCCAATTAAGTATATTTTTCTAAAATAATTTGAACAAAATGCCACTTTCGGTTTTACTGGAAGTGACATCAACATTCTTACATTCTTATTTTAAATAGAACACCCCATATATTTTTACATTTATAAATTCTCAGTGAAATGACTAAACCATGTCCTATCCCTAAAGTGAATAATTTTCGAGTTATTAATTTTTTTCGTTAAATTTTGACAAATGCGCGTCAATCAAAAATAGCGCATAACTTTGTCGTTATTATGTTTGCGGATACCTTTAAACATTGTTTGAAAGAAAAAAAAAATTATTTGCGAAAAACCATGGAAAATTGGGCTAACTTGAATAACTTTTTTATTTTAAATGTAACACCCTGTATGTTTTTTACATAATACTTAATATTTTGTGTGAAATTTAATATTATAAAAATATATTGGTGTGTTCTATTTGAAATAACAAATTTGATGTGGCATTTTGTTCAAAATATTTTAGAAAAAATAGACATAATCCTGTATATTCTTTTAGGCTTCATTTGATACATGCAGCGATCCTGGGCTCATCTCTCGCTTCATTCCTGGGGGCATCAGCAAACAACAACGTACATACGTGCGTTCCGCCAAGAAAATATACATGCAATTTTGATGTATTACCTATGCGAAGCTTTAATGCGCCACTTTTCAGACTCAATGCGTTCCTTGAATAAATCACTCATTAAATGCAAGCAAGACACTGCGATGGACTGGACTGAAATAAGTTAACGTGTTGTTCCTGAATCCCAAAATTTAAAGAACAAAAAGAAAAAAAAACTAAGGATGGTTGTAGATTACGAGGTGTGTTCGGAAAATAACGGGAATTGTTAAATTTCGCGGGTTCGGAGGGTCCGGTTGTCATAAAATTTTCTTTATTATGTTGGTATACATGCCCCCGAAGTATGATAAAAACTCTAGCTGTTTTCATTGTTTACTTTATCTGTGGCAGCCGCTTTGTATCCAATTTTGCTTAAAAAAATGAAATAAAGCACATTAAAAACCGATAAAAACATGAAAAAAGTGGAAGAAATGGTTATAAACAATCAGAGAAGTCGCTGATGATGTTGGTATATCGATTGGTTCATCCCATGAAACTTTTTCGAATGTTTTGGGTATGAAACGCGTGGCAGCAAAATTTGTTCTAAAATTGTTAAATTTTGAACAAAATTTTTGACCAAAAACAATACTGTAATGATGCCCCAGCCTCCATATTCGCCAGACATGCCTCTGTCTGACTTTTTCCTATTCCCAAAAATAAAGAGAACCTTAAAGGGCCGTCGTTTTGCAAGCATAGATGACATTAAAAGCGCATCGCTGAAAGAACTAAAGGCTATCCCAAAGATCGAGTTTTAGAAGTGTTTCGAGTATTGGAAGAAGAGCTGGCACATGTGCATAATATCCAATGGGGACTATTTTGAAGGCGACAACATTAATGTAGACGAATAAATAAATATTTGTTGCAAAAAACTAAAATTCCCGATATTTTCTGAACACACCTCGTATATTATAATCCTTAATATTTTTTTTGTAAACCAAATTTAATAAATTTTAAACAAATTCAAATTTCATAAAAAAATTTGAAAGCATCAGGAACGACCCCGTATAATTCGCAGTTAGTCCTTTTTGTTTCTGAAGACGATTAAAATCCACCATTGGCGGTGAATTTCCGCGGACTAATCGGCCGTTGTTAGCCGGCCCACGGGCCCACTTTGAGGTCGACGGGTCGGTCAGTTACGTAACCACGCGTCGTTACTGCAGCATTGATTTATGGCTTATTTCAAACATTTTTTAAACGTACAATTAACGCAGAAAATATGCGTTATGCACATGATCAAACAAGAAACGTTTTTCGGGGACTATAAGCCCTTGGACTGTTCTTACTTCTAACTCACACACTGTTATAAAAATCAGATTTGTTAACATGAGTTTAATAATAATAATAATTGTATTAATCCAATTGACATAGATAACATTCATATGTATAGGAAAAGTCACAGGAATACAATACACGAACTACAAGTAAATATACTTGGAAATACCTACTAATTTATTCTAAAAACATATTCAGTTCATAAGGACATTCCTCAATTAAAGAGTCTTTTAGTTTTTTTTTTAAACATTATATTTTTTTGTTTTCTTAATATAATTAGGCAAATTGTTAAAAATTTTGATGCCAGAAAAATAGGATGACTTTTTAAACAAAGGGGTCGTTCATTAATTACGTGAGGTGTTTAGGGGGGGGGGAGGGGGTCGAGCCAAACCTCACCAAATCTCACGTGGGGGGAGGGGGGGGTCTCGGCAAATATCACGTAATTTTTTTTTCCGAAAGAAAGAGTGTAAAATTGCG